TAAAGTCAAGGCTACTTGAGATCCTTATAAAATAAAACAAAATCGATAATATAGTAAGATGCGATGCTAGGCTTTAAGACCCCCCCCCTTCCAGAGATTCCAGGACTCTCCTCTGCCCCATAGCCAGCCACACAGGTCATTCAAATGGTCTCACACTCTTCCCTTCCTTGATCTGAGACATGAAAATACATCTGACTCCTTCTTTCTGTGTGCATCAGAGCTGACCCAGTGTGGGGATGCTGACTTTGGACTCACAAGGCCCAAGTCAGAGACTGGCTACAAGACACTGTCTTCATGCTCTGTGCTCCACCCTCTGCCCTCCCTATCTGAAAATCAAGGGTGATAGGCATGTCTTTTCAGAACAGACATGTTTAAAGGGAGAGTATATGGAAATGCCAGAAACCGAGACAGACACACAGTGGGAACTTGGTGTGGCTCAGTCCCGGGACAGGCAGGTTTGTGCTCAGGCAAGTGGGTGTTTTCATGCTTATTTTTAGGTGTGCTAATTTCTCCTTAGAAGGATCGTCATAATTGTGTTATTTCAATATTTTGATACAACACATGCTTAGTTTTATAAAAGGCTTCTGGTTGATTGGGTGTGTTCCAGAGCCGTGGAATCTTGGCTTAGATTTAAAAGAGTGGACTTTTGTGGTCATTTGTCATTTACTGGCATCCTGTCCTGTGCCAGTACCTGTTTTGGATGCTGGGGTACAGGGAAGGAAGTAGCATTCAATAACATGAGACACAGATAGCCCAAGGGACAGTAGTCTGCTGGGAGGCACACACATGGAAACACCTTGGTGAGGCTTGAACCTCGAGTCTGGAGTGGTCCATCTTGTGAGCTTATCCACTGCATCGTAACCAAGTTCCTTCTATATACCAATCAATCTGCTAGGCACTGGGAACAAAACAGACTTAACTCCAGCCTTCATGGAGGCTGGGGCTTTGGGGAAGGGATATATAAGCCATAGGTAAAGATGAGCCTCAAGCAGCTATAGGAGATACTGAGCACTATGGGAGACTTGCAAAAGTGCCATGGTGTATGACTTGGAGGTCCATAGGACTGCCCCCCCATCCCTGTGCTCCTGCAGGTCACAGATGGGGTGGGTGTTGGAGGGGCCAACACTTAACCCTGGTTCTGGGCCTGGGTAGTTGCAGGGATGGTCAGCCTGCCAGCTCTCCCTGTCCTCACCACTAGGGCGAGCTCTCCAGCACTGCCCTGGCGAGTTCACCCTTTGCAGCAATAAAAGCGAGGGGTGGAGTCAGTTCTCCTGCTTTCACTCCTCAGGGGCGGTTCCCCCACATCTTCAGGGCCAGCCCACTGTATTTCCAGTCAAGTACAGGGCCTCTCTCCCCAGTGCTGCAGCTGATGGGGGCAGGGACAGCTCTCCCACTCTTATGACCTCAGGGCCAGCCCTCACCTGCCTCAGTCATTGATGGGAGAGAGGGCATCCCTCCCCCACCCATGCTGCCACAAGTCAGATAAGTGACAGGGACAACTCTCCCATGGTCACAACTTTCGGAGCTGGCTCACCCACACCTCTGCCAACACGGTTGGCTCTATTGTGCTGCCCAAGGCAGGGCATGTTCTTCCAAGTGCTCCAGCTGGTGAGGTGTTGGGTCAGGTGGCAAGGGGCGAGGGGGGAAGGGAATCCTTCCCTCACCCATGTCACCACCTGCTTTCCCATTCTCATATCCTTGGTTCCAGCTTGTCCGTGCCTCTGCTGGCCAGGTGAGATGTAGGATCCTCTCTCTTGAGTCCTTCAGTCAGTGAGGGGTGAGACCAGGTCTCCCTAGTGTTACAGTCAGTGAGAGGTAGGGACAACTCTGTATAGCCCTACCCTCTCAGCCTTTAGTGGTATCAGGAGCCACAGACATCAACAGAGACTGTGACTACATCAGAGCCTGAACCCAGACATGGGCCCCAGCAGCAGCCCAGGCCGAGACATCACCATGGCCCTGGGTGGCAGTGAAGCCACCCACCTCTGCCTGCTCCTCATCTCTTCAGATGTGCTCTGTCCACAGGACTTGAACCATTCTCTCTCTCTGTCTCTCTGTCTCTCTGTCTGTCTCTGTCTCTGTCTCTCTGTCTCTCTCTCTTTCTCTCTCCATGCCACACATTTGTTCACCATAGTGGTGCTGGTGCCCGTCTGTCTGCCTGTTGCCTCAAGGTGCCAGTGTTTTCTCAGAGGCCTGAGTGTGAGTCTCCTTGACTCACACCATCACGGCTGTGGGCAGGACCATATTTTCTCATCACAAAGAGATACAATAGTGCCAGGTGACACCAGGTTGGTGCAGAGGTGTTGCTGGAGACCTCCAAGCCTGGGTTAGAAAGCCCAGCCTGCAATCTGCCATCCCAGCCACATGGCATGGTGTGTGGATGTTTCTGGAGTCCTCTCAGAAGCCTGAACTAGAAAGCTCAGGCTGTGATCCGTTGAGTCTCAATGCGTGGTCTAGAAGTAGGATTGTTCTCTTAAAATTTTTTTTATTAATTTATTTTTTGCATTCCAATCCCAGTTCCCTCTCCCTTCTCTCCTCCCGCTCCCCTCAACTCCCATCTGCTCCTCTGTGAGGATGAGGCCTCCCCTAGGAAGTCTACTAAGTCTGTGCCATCATCTCTTTGAGGCAGGACCAAGGCACCTCTCCACCCCCACACCCCTGTGTCTAGACTGAGCAAGATATCGCTCCATATAGAATGGGCTCCACTCAGTGAGTTTGTGTATTAGTGTTAGATCTTGGACCCACTGCAAGTGGCCTCAAATATTGTTCCAGTCACACCATTGTCACCTATATTAAGGGAGTCTAGTTTGGTCTTATGCAGATTCCCCATTTGTCAGACCTAAATCAGTGATCTCTCACTAGCTTGGGTGAGCTGATTCTATGGATTTCCCCATCATGGTCATGACTCCTTTGTTCATATTATCGCTCCTCCCTCACTTTGATTGTATTCCAGGAGCTTGCCCATTGGTTAGTTGTGGATTTCTGCATCTGCTTCCATCTGTTTCTGGGAGAGGGTTCTAGCTTCTCTGGGGTTGTGGATTGTAGTAGGCTGGGCATCTTTTGCTTCTTGTCTGGTATCCACGTATGAGTGAGTACACTCTGTATTTGTTTATCTGGTTTTGTGTTAAGGATCTGTAGAGATGGTTCTGGTTACAGGAGGGAGTGGAGGGATAAGAGAGGACTGTAGGGAACCAGGAGGAGGCTGTCATCATTGTTCAGGGGTGGGGTGACGTGTGGTGGTGGACTACATAGAGTTTGAATGTATTTTGGAGTAGTTTTGTTGGAGTTGGGAGGTGAGTGAGGGGAGTGTCAGGTTTGTGCATGGAGGGTGGCATCATCTAGTGCAGTCAGAACACAAGTGAAAGTACGACGTAGAAGAAGGAAACGTTGAGTGGGAATGGAGATGTCCAGCTGTGGTGCTCGGGTAAGCAACAAGAATGGAGGATGAATGTGACGCCTAGAGGGCTTTGAACACAGGGATTGTTGAGGCAATCTGAAAAGGAGTTTAAGGGAGACAGGGCTGACCAGGACAAACTCCAACACGAGAAGAAAGCAAAGGAAGCCAGCAGGTAGGCGTGGCCACCTCTTTCAGACCAGTTTGCCCAACTGTGTGGTAGCTTGATAACACACCTGCAGAGGGAGCCAGTGAGCAAGAAGAGATGTTGGCTTTGGCTACAAATGCAATCTTTCTCAGGGACCCTAAGTTTCCTATGTAGTGTCTGAGGAACATGGTATGGGTCCCTGCTCTGTCATAGCTCTTCCCAAACCTCCCTACATCCATGGCTTCATCCATCAGTCCATGAGAACAGGCACAGGACTTGACTTCAGGAGATAGCTACTAGCTGCTTAAGGTGCATGCTGGATTCACAGAACAATACAAAACGACAAACCACTCTGCCACTGAGCCACCTCTCTAGTCCCATGTGCTACTGTGGCTCAGGCCTTTCTTTTCTTCTCTGCACATACATACACGTCAAGGAAGTTTTTCTCCTACTCAGGGGTTACAAGCACTTGCCATCAAGTCTGATGACCTGAGTTTGATATCCAGAACCCACACAGTGGAAGGACCCCCGCAAGCTGTCTCTGACCTCCACATGTGTACCACGGCACATGGGAGTACACACAAACACAGATAAATGCAATTAAAATTTAAAACACAGCCAGGCAGTGGTGGCACTCGCCTTTAATCCCAGCACTTGGGAGGCAGAGGCAGGAGGATCTCTGTAAGTTCAAGGCCAGCCCAGTCTACAAAACTACATAGGAAAACCCTGTCTCCAAAAATAATAAAATAAAATAAAACCCATGCACAAGTTTTAAAAATTCACTCATACGGACAAATGGGGTCCCCTCCACCTACTGAAGTAGACTCAGAACCTGTGCCACAAAGCCAGGGCCCAAAGTCCATGCTCATCATGATCTATGGTAAAACCTGGGACAGTTGGGACAAGGAGAAAGCCAAATTTAGTGCTCACTCTGTCTACTAGCCTTGTCCTGGGGCTGCTGATTAGGGTGGGAAAATGACCCAGTGAGACCTGGAGCAGGGCGCTAACTGCTAGTTGGCACCCACATTTCTACTGTTCACCAAGGTACGGACCAAGAGAGGACCTGGGGACGCTCAGGAGACTCTGACTATCTGAAGTTCCAGTCCCCAGCTCTTCTGCTTACCTTACTTGGCCATTCTCCTTTGGACCAAGTCCCCCTCTGTAAGGTGGGTGGCTGAGGGAGGGTGGCTCTCTGGTGACCGTGGGCCAGATCTGCTGGGAAATCAGGAGCAGGTTCAGGGAAACTTGCTCTCTTGCAGTCCAGGCTCTTGTCTTCAGACTCTCAGTGGGAGGAAGATTCATTGAGGGGTGGAGCAGGAGGTCACCAGGCCTTCTGCCTCGTGTTGGGGTCATCCCTTTGCCAAGGGCCATGTTTCCGTTGCCGCTGTTACTGATGCTATTGAATGGGTTCTGTGGTTCTGAGGCACTGACCCGCCCCTGCCTCTCTGATGTTTTTAGACCTATAACAGCCAGAGCGAGAGCAATGAAGACTATGAGATTCCTCCTATAACGCCTCCCAACCTCCCTGAGCCATCCCTTCTGCACCTGGGGGACCACGAAGCCAGCTACCACTCGCTGTGCCACGGCCTTGCGCCCAACGGTCTGCTTCCTGCCTACTCGTACCAAGCTATGGATCTCCCGGCCATCATGGTGTCCAACATGCTAGCCCAGGATAGCCACCTGCTGTCTGGTCAGTTGCCCACGGTGAGTCTGTCTCCCACATGGGACCCGCAGCTCCAGCAAGGGAGGGCCTGAGGGGAGCAAGTGGCAGGGTTGAGTTGAGGAGCCCTGATCCTGGGCATGTGCTGAGCTCTTCTGGCTGATTTCGGGGAATCTGCAGAGTATGGGAGTGGCATGGAGGGAAACCGTAACTTCTACAGGTCTGTTTGTGACAACTTGGGACTGGTTTTATTGGTCATTGATAGAACAACCCTGGTTTTATTTATTGCGATATATACACGCCATCTCACACACATAGAGTGGGTAGCTGTACAATCCATTCGAAAATGTTTTTACCTACCCTGCCCCCGACATTGGAAGAGGCTTAAGTCTTGACAATAGTGTCATTAGTCACCTTTAGTCACCACTCCCAGATATCACGCTCAACCCTTGGTCCAAGACAACCACCCATTACCTTCCCTTATTTTGCTTTGTTTTGGTTTGAGACACTCTATGGTCCTGGCTAGCTGACAACTCACTGTGTATCCCAGGCTGGCCCACTGGTTGTTTCCTGAGTCCTGGGACTGCAGGTGTGTACACCCACTCACCACAGGTTGTCTTCTGCCTATGTCCGTTTGCTGTTCTAGGTGTTTCACATACGTATCTAGGGAGGAGAGGTAGCAAGGGTAGGTGAAAGCCGGCAGGCAGACAGAGGCAGGGAAGAATGTTCCAGGGGACAGACAACGTTTGCCAAGGGGAGAGGTAAGGGGCCAGTGATCTGGTGGAGTCAGCATGGGATTCCTTTCCCTATGGGGCTGGAGAGTGAGACCCTGAAGCCAGTGGGAGCGAAGGAGCTCGGGTGAGCCTGCAGCAGCGGGTCCTAAACCCATGCTGAGCGGGGTTGTGTGCTCTTAGCGTGATGGCTGGTCTGAACTATCCAGTCCTACAGGAAGTCGGTAGATGAGGCACTTTAAGTGACTTCCAGAACCATCCTTAAACAACTTTGCTTCATGTTTCTCTTTCCTTCTATCCTTTCACAGTTAAAATTAGAGTCATAACTCTTACATTCATGTTTAGGCTAATGGCGACATGAACAACAAGGACTGATGTAGCCATGGATAGGCAAAGGCTTCAGGGTGCTTCTTCACAGGAGTTGCACCGGTGGCATCACTGTGGCCCCTCTCCACCCTCATTTCCACACAGCAGGCCTGTGACCACTAGCAGCTAACACACTTGTGGCAAAGCCACTGTTTCAGTCTTCTGAGGAAAACCATGACTGAGCACTGACTGGCTGGACCAACTGTTGAATCCAAGATGAAGTAGCTCTTCAGTGTGTCTGACTGGGTCACAAGCACTCCGGAGGCTGAAGGATGGGGTGCTCATCTGACTTCCCTGTCAGAGTCACATGGTATTGGCTGGACTGCATTTGCTACCGCAGCAGCTGCTTAGAAACTGCAGCCCAGTCTGCAGCCCGATATGAGCAGAGGCAAGAAGATCATGAGTTCAACGCCAGATTGAACTGCATAGTGAGACCTTGTCAATACTTAATTAACTAATAACCCTGCAGAACTGTATGTTCCGCTCTCCAGGGATCCTGATCTTTTGCCCCTCTCCACAAGGCAGTAGCCCGGTTTCCTCTTCCAAGTGGTTGACTGGTTCAGATTCCATGGTCACGTGGCCTCAGTCCCACCTTGGTAGGTTTGTTCGCTCCTGTCATAATCCTCACTACTGTGGGTGCCTTTGCTGGGGGTTTCCCACAGCACACAGCAGGGCAGAGCCAGGCGGCTGCCTCGGTGACGAGCTATGAGAGCCGTGGTGCAGGGATGAGGACCACAATGTCCCCCACAGGTCCCTGCCCTGGGCTGCCAGTGTCTAGCAGAGACTGTGAGGATAATAGCTGCTGTGCTTTGGAGCCCTAGGTTTCACATCAGGGACTCTTTCCTTGTCTTTGAATCCTACCATTGGCCATCAAGATCTTGTCACAGTGTTTGAGATGATGTATGTGGAGTCTTAGCCATTAAATGGCAGAGTAGGCAATCAGGAACATTTGCTCTTGCCATTAGTCATCAAGTTGAACTGGGCGGGAAAGGTAACTCAGTTAGTAAATTGCTTACCTTGCAAACATGAGGACCTAAGTTCAATCCCTCAGAGCCTGTATTAAAAATAAAGGCCAGCATAATAGCATGTGCTTGCCCGAAAAAAAGTGGGCCGTACCTGTGGTTAATCTCCTGGTCTTCACACATACACACTGCCACCAGTCTCCCAGGGCCCTTCCCAAGTTTCCTGATCTCAACAGCTCCGACCATCGCAAGGCCTGCTGGCAGTCGACCACAGACCACCCCTCGCTCCCCTTGGAAATACATGATCCCTTACACGAGCTCTGTGCAAACCAGTCCTTTGCAGGTTTCCTTACAGCTGGTCCATATCTAGGAGGATTCTCAAAATCACATAGTCTTAGCTCTCCATTAGTCTAGAATTGCAGGGATCCCTTCGAGCTTATATTCCCTCCTTACTTAATGAGAGAGATAAGCACAGAACCCCCCCACACACACATGGGAAAGCCAGATACGAAGGATACGCTGGATGATGACCCGGAGGCAGGGGCTTGACAACGGGGCTTTTGAATTCAGGAGAACCACAAGGAGAAAGTGTGTGTGGGTGTGCAATGCCTGCTGTGTGCGTGAAGCAGGGCTTATGGAAGCACCTGCTGGCTGTCAAGCAGCATGCCGCGGGATTAGTTAGTGCTCCTCTCAGCTGAGAGAGGCAGCAGGATTAGTTAGTGCTCCTCTCAGCTGAGAGAGGCAGCAGGATTAGTTAGTGCTCCTCTCAGCTGAGAGGCAGAGGGGCTGGAGGCTTCCCTGCCGTGACTGCTCTAGCAAATCGCCACAAAGGTCCAACATCAGTACCTCAAGTTGAAATGGAGGTTCTGGGAAGCCATGCTTCCCCAGGAGGCTCTGGGATGTCCATCCTTACCTCTTCTGGCTTCCAGAGCAGTGGTTCTCACCCTTGCCAGTGCCACAATCGTTTAATACAGTTCTTTGTGTTGTGGTGACCCCACAACCATAAAATCATTCCATTGCTACTTCATAACTGTAATTTTTCTAATGCTGTGAATTGTAATTTAAATATCTGATATACAACCCGGGTCATGACCCATAGCTTGTGAACCGCTGTTCTAGAGGCTTCCCTGGCTTATGGTTGGTCTCCTCTTGGTCTCTGACTTCTCTTTTATTAGTGACAGCTCCCTGCCCTTCTTTCTCATATGGACACTTATGAAGGACTTTAGGGCTAACTTAGAATAATCTCGCAGTGTTGTACTCCCGAGCTTGGACTTAGTCAAAACTTCATGCTCTAGTTACATTTACAGGTTCCAAGAACTATGGCTTCGTATCGTTTTTATTTTAAAGTGAGTGGCGTGTGTGCATGCCTGTGTCACAGCACAGCTGTGAAGGCCGGAGGACTCTCCTTCCTCCGTGTGGGTCCCAGGGCTCAAACTCCACAGGTGGCTTTGCCCTGCGAGCCCTCTCGCTGCCCATGACCTGATATCTTCAGTGGGCTGTGGCGTTATCCCACCTGGCCTGCCATGCTGATCCTCAGCTTGAACTTCTAGGTGCCAGGCTTTGCTACAGGCTTTGTGATCTCCGAGACGCCTTGACAAACTCCAGATGCAAACGGACAGAAGGCCAAGAGTCTGTGATGTGTCTTGGATGTCATATTGTCCCCCAAAGCTGGTACGAAAGACTCACACCCCAGAGTGGCTGTATTGTGAGGTGCTGGGCCTTTAAGATGCTAGTGAAAGGCCCTTAGGGACAAAGGGCTCATGGTATCCTGGTCTCTTTTCTCTCTGGATCCAGATGTATGTGGCCCTTCACTCTTATGTTCCCATCATGCTGTGCTACCCTCAACAGAGGCCCAAAGCAATGTGCACCCTCAACCGAGCCAAAATAATCCTTGGCTAACTCTATGAGCAGACTCAGGGATGTTGTTATAGTGCTGTAAAGCCCACAGATGCAGCCTCCTTCTAAAAAGGTGCTGTAGATGTTCAGCTTGTGGCTGAGGGTCTGTGTGCATGGGAGAGACCCCTGACTCAGATGGGGGAGGCAATAGCTTTGTATCTGGGGGCATTGGTTGTTGTGGGGTGGGAATATGATAAAGGAAATATAATTTCTACAGAGTATAAAGACACCGGTGTCTCAGTGGCCTCGTCTGCCCGAGGGCATCACTAGCAATACTGTCTGGGGTTAGTGGAGACTCAGCACAGCACAGGATAGGGGATGATTCTAAAAAACGCCTTACCCCTTATATGAGAAGTAATGGCTGGACGGGAGGCAGACCTGTATGCTATTCTCTGTGAGTGAGAATTCCACCTAGTTCTCAAGCAGAACCCCCAGAAGCCACACCCTATCAAGTCCCTCCATCTACCTCCCAGTTTGACCAGGGAGTTGCACAGCCAGGCTCAGGGTCACAGAGGGGTGCCTGGGTGCCAGGTGTTGTCCTCACAGACCCGGATGCCCCAGTGACGCCATCTCTGGAGGAGTAGGTGGAACTTTGATCTTTGACAGCCATTTCAACAATGCCAAGACCCCCATAGCTCTGACTCCAGAGACCACCAATCCCTTCTGGTCCCCTGCTTGAATACTGAGTCTCATGGACGTGTGGATATGACTCCCCTCCTGATGCTGCCAGTGGGGATTATGTACGACACTGGAACCAGACCCCCTTACAAAATTAAATATGCTCATGACTTTTCCCCTCAACTTCAGAGTCTTAACTGATTAAACATTCATTTCCGAGACAAAAAGAGTCAATTTAGTATGAAAGATATAGTTTCCTGGTTTAATTTAAAGCACTGCACCTCCATCTGACCTCTATTTTCATAAGTCAATAATTTTATCCTATGTTGATTGTTTCATTTTGAGAGAGATATTGTATTTATAAATCAGCCTCTAAAAATACTCAAAGAAACTCAGAGAGTGGAATTTATTAAGCTGCTCGTGGAGTCTGAGATCACTTCTGGAGTCCTCTGGGAAGCAGAATTCAGGGAC